TCTAATGATGGAACACACACAGCTGCCGGCAGTGGGAGACAGTATGAATATTAATAAACTATATTTCACTTATATTACTTTTTCATTAGGTTTTCATGGAGAGGGTGTTTGTGAGCGAAGTCCATGCAGTGAGTTGTAGACATGTGTTTTGTTTTCTTGACAAAATGGCGAGCCTCGCAGCCAGAGGCAAAGGCAGGTGCAGGAACAGCTAGTTCAAGAGACGTGGCACACACTAGCAGGCCACATAAGGTGGGGTGAGGCAGATCAATACCGTCGTTTTAGCAGTCTTGCAGGATATTTCTCATGTGACAGTTCCTTTTTTATTTTAATGTCTGGGTGTGACTCTTAGGGTGTGACTCTTAGGCCGTGACAAATGCACACCCTGCCCCATATGTGGCCACTACCTTCCTCATCTTCCTACCCACTCCCTCCACACCTTCCAGCCCTCACCCTTCTGCTCATCTGACATCTTTTCACCAAACCAAAGCAGACATTCCCTCTCCCATCCATCACATCTTTGTGTCTGTCTCTGTTTTTGTGTGACCGTGGACACCACTGGGTGCAGAAGAATGATGAGATCACCAAGCAATGGCAGGCTTGTCCAGATCGAACCCTGGCATGTGGCAAGGACCCTTTGACACCCAGGTAGACCAGAAAGGAGTTCCCATGTGGTTCCGGAGACCACAAGTTGTTCTGAACTGGGGCAGGAGTGACCCCTCAGCATGGTGGTGGCCTTGTGCCTTTGGTCCTTCTTCGGGAAAGGACACCCTGGTGCAGCTCTGAGCCGTGTGTTGCTGGGGTATGTCCGGACCAGCAAGTTATCTTTGTGGGGGTGGTGGGGGTGTTCATCACTGGGCTGGGTGACAGAACCTTGCTCTCTTACTACATATCTGGTGTCTTGTGGAATGTGTGAGGACACGTATGTCTCTGGCAGAGTGGAGCAGGATGACTGTGTGAGAGTTGTAGGGTGACGGATTTTATTTCATTAGTCAGGAAGATCAAATGAATTTTTGCTAACTCAAAAAGTGCCTATTTCAGCCAGGTCAGATGAGAAACCTTAAATACTTAATAACGCAGACCACTCAGCATTAACCATTCTTGGTTATTTATTGAATCAGAAAAAAAGTGTGTTCCTGCTTTTTCAATTCCAAGTTTTTTCTCAGCTTAGAATGAATTACTTCAAGGAAAGACCATCCTGTTTATGCACATAGAAGTGGCTTGTTTTTAGAGTTAGTTTATCACTCCTTTCATGTATTCACTTTGCAGCCAGCATTTATTGAGTGCCTGCTGCATGCTGGACAGTGTACTTTAGTACTCTGATGAATGCATGTGTTTTTAGAAATGTTCATAAGTCACACTCTTTTGGAGAATAAAGATGTCCACATGTGTAAATTTTCCAAGTGACTAAAACATACCCATTTTGACACCATACTTAAAATGTTTTTATTTTTCTGGACAGAAATTTAACAAGAAGACAACGTAGCATCCCCCGCCTTCTGATAGAAAGTAGAGGACAAAATTGGAGTGGCACTGACAATAAGCTCCTGCTAAAGGCCAGGAGCCTACATTTCTTCCTCATGACTGCCATTATTATCCCAAGTTAGTCGATGAGAAAACATAGTCTTGAAAACCAGTTGCCAAGTGGCACAAGGCTAGTAAGTGGTGCTGCTGGGATTTGGACCAGGATGTCTGATTGCCAGACACGTTTCTTCCACCAAATTTTGCTCTCCCTCCAATTTGATCTTCACCTAGTCCCTCAGGGCATCGTTATGAATGTGAAGGAATGTGTTCAAACACAGAGGTGCACTTGTGTGTTCTATTTAGATGTTTAATTCTCCTTGCTCTGAAGTTAAAAAGCTCCTGGTATCTTTATACATTGAGTTTTTAAAATTCTAACTAGGGCCACCGTTTTTTAAGTGCTTCTGTTTGCCAGGAACTTTACATACAGACGTTATCTCTGTTCTTTGCAACTTTTGCAGGTAGATGTTATCCCCATTTTATAGATAAGGAAACAAGCTGAAAGAGGGTAAGAAAGTGCCCACAATCCTATACCACTGAGTGATGGAGCCAGGTCTTTCTGCCTCCAGAGCGTTTACATTTTCTTAAGGCTGGGACAGCTCTGCTCACTGTTGCCAGTGTGCCAGCCCCTCTTTCAGGGGCCCTCTCCCCTTCTTATGTCATGTTTTCATTACATCATGCCTGCAGAATCAAGTCACCAAACCTGTTGGAGGTAGTGGAAAAAATATTGGCATAGGATCCAAAGGACCTGGATTCTAGCCTCAATCTGGGCATGTGACCGTGAGCAAGTTCTTGACTTCTGAAATTTAGAACTGCAAGCCCTGGCCCCTTCGTCCCTGCCTTGCCTTGCCTGGGCATTTATCAGTCATGTGAGATTCTTCATGTGCTCCATCCACATAATGTGTGCAGTCTAAATTATGTTTGATCCATAAGCACACAACTTTTATTTTTTCTGATGCACGTAGATGCTATTGTGAATAATATATTGGAAAACATGACTAGGCTACTATGGCTTTTTAGCATTTTGTGTTTTCTCAATTGGAAGACAACAACAGTCCAGTTACTATTATGTGGATCTCACTGTCTCCCCCACCCCATCCCCCAGTCCACAGTTGAGGATAAGAGTTCCACATCATGTCAGGGAGCCACAGTCCTCTCAGTCTACACCACAGGAAAAGTACCCATTCAGAAGCATTAATAAGATTGCTATATGAGTCTAGGATGTGGAAACACGGCGCAGGGTGCAGGGCTGGCTCCGTAGCTTTGCCCTTGCAGGTGGCATTGAAATTAAACAGACTCCTGGGGAGGGCCTGGAGCCTTCTCTGTGGCCAAAGTCCATGAGCGTCTTTAGCGCACAGATCTTATGACATCTGCTTTTGTTGCTAAAGGCCTTCTTTTTTTTTTTTTTTTTTTTTGGTACTTTTTATTTATTTATTTGTAATTGAAAAATAACTTATTATACATATCTGTGGGGTACAGTGTTGAATGTTACCTATGTATGATACATGATTCTCAATTCAGGATATTTACTATATTTATCATTCCACAATGTAATCATTTTTGGTGGCCCTTTACCAATTTCTCGCTAACACCCCTCCTTCACTTTCCCATCTCTGGTGGCCTCAGTACTTTTCTCTCCTTCAAGGGCCTCTTTGAGTTTACTTCCAGGTTCTGGATTATGTTCTAGGTAGTTGTTGGTGCCAAATAAAAATGAGCTCCAAATGTTATTAAATGTATAGATTTCTTCAAAAAAGAAGATACTGTTTCAGATGCTTCATAATTAGAAGGTGTACCAGGTTGGTGATTTCTTTGAGCACTGGCCTATTTAAAAATTTTACAAAACTAAAAACTGTATACTGTCTGTGTATAGTTATGCATGTCATTATATTAAAAACCTGTCAGCTTTCTTAAATTTTTTTCTTTTAATATTTGAATTTTTAAAATCCTCTCTTTTTATATATCCTGGTTTTGGTGGATTTAATACCTTCCCTAAAAGGAGAAACAAGTGTACCACATAGTCTGTTTCTATTCCAAAAATAATCATAGGACCCAGTTTTTAATTCATTATTTACTTTTAAGGCATAAATATAATTTTGTGCTGGACAGAGCACCATCATGTGTACATTTCATTTAATCATCAGAGCTGCTCTGTTGCCTTCCCACTTGCACATGTGGAAACTGAGAACCTAACTTGTCCCAGAACACAGAGCCAGGAAGGAGCCGAGCCAGCCTGTCCCTAGCCCAGCCAGCTCTCCTGACCCGGGGCTCACATCCTTGTCCCGCTGGCTTCTGCTGCTGTGACGCAGGCCACCGTGCCACTCTCTCTCATCTCACGTGGTTTGCGAAGGGTTCCAGCAGTGAAGGGTCAACCTTTCGTTTTGGTCCAGATAGTTTTTCATACATAAATTGTGTCCCCTTCAGTGATACCAGGTCAGAATTCAGATGATTCCAAGCAGCATATTACCACTGGGGGGTGGGGGGACTGAAAAGAGCAGGACTTGATTACGCTGGGAGCTGGTATTATTGCCTTCTCGTATAAAAAGAGAGCATAAGTCTGTTGTCACTTTCCCCACCGTTATGAACACTGAACTATGTTAATTATAATGGCAAGGGCTCATCAGAGTGCTAAATCACGAGCAACTGCCAGGTTATTTGATGTTCAGTTTTACCAGCAACAGCGCCAGATGTTTGCATAAAAGAAACTATGTAACTATAGGGACATATAAACCAGCTCTGCAGCTAACCATGTATATAGCCAATACCAGACTGTGATAACAAGGAGGGGCGTTTTCCTTTTGTCTAAAGAAAAGAGGTTTCCCACAGAAAGAGGTTTCCCAGCATGTGGCCCTGAAAGCGATCTTGGTGATGATCTAATCCCACCTCCTTCATTACAGATTCCTGTTCAACAAATTTATGTCACATCCATGCTAGGTTAAGTCCCTGGGCCAGGAGCTGAAGAGCAGTTCGCAGGCCTGTGAGGCAGAGCTTGGTGGGATGAGACCCCTGGTTTGTAGGGAGCCAGCGCTGGCTGAGAGCCTGCTTGCTATACATATCTGCCCTCAGCTATCCACCGTCCCCTGACTTCACATACAGTGCTGACGCCACTGAACGGATGCACCTTGTGTGGATGTGGTCACTAGCCCTTTAGCCTGAAAGGTGGCAAGCAAGTGTTCTGGATTGGCCTGGAGGCCTTCTGGGTGTCTCTCATTTCCTGAGCACTCACCCTGGTGCCCCTCTAAACCTGTTGTGTCAGCTCTCCCTGTTCCTCATGGACCTGCACCGATTGGCCCCGGCCCCATGTGTGTGCCAGGGTGCCCATGCCTTGCATGAGCTCTTGTCCTGGATGGCAAGTGAGGACACCCGCCCAGCTGCCACCCCGAAGGCTACCTTAAGGCCTCTGTCGTCAGGGAAGCTCTGTGTCTCTCACACATATTCACTCATTTCTTCTGACTTCCCACCTCCTTCTCTTTTTCTAATTTCAGAGTTGGAAATCTCTAGACTACATTAGTCCTGACTCTGCTGTAGCAAAGTGCAAGCCATAACCTTGGAGTTCTGTGCCACATGATTAAATGTGAGGTCAAACGCTACCCTTGGACCAGCAGGCAGTTGTGTCAGGCAGGGATGGGCAGGTTTGTGAAGGGTGGAGAGTCCGTGTCAGGTGAGAAACGTTTCTGAGCACCTCCTCTACTGCAGGCCGCACACTAGGCATCAACAAACATGAGGTACTAAGACAGATTTACCTCCAAGGAACGTGCAGTTCAGCTAATACTTATAAATGATGTTGTGTGAAAATAATTCTGGGCAATTTCACAAGAGATATTTATTTTCATTCCAAATTGGATAGCAAGCCAACTTTTTCTCATAAGAGAGTAAATAACATAAGTAACTTCAAGATGACACATTTGCACTGGCCCTGAGAACCCTCAAGGCTCTGTTTAGTCCATGCGCTTCCTTCTGATGATTCAGTTAGGCAGCCCCATCAGCACCAGCAAAACGTGACCACTTTTCTCTGATTGCATGTCCCAAGTTATAAGTTTTACCCTATAACTTTAGAGCAGACCCCCTGCCGGAAGTCGATTTCCCCAGTTCCTGGGAAGGACACCTTAGGGTCCATGAAGCACTTACACCCTGGCCAAATGTGGCCCTCAACAGGCATTTCCAGGTGCAACAAGACTAATCTTTCACTTTCGCTCTGGGTCATCAACTGGCAACTAGGTCGATTTCCCCAGTTCCTGGGAAGGACACCTTAGGGTCCATGAAGCACTTACACCCTGGCCAAATGTGGCCCTCAACAGGCATTTCCAGGTGCAACAAGACTAATCTTTCACTTTCGCTCTGGGTCATCAACTGGCAACTAGGAAAATTTTCATTTTGAGAGTTTCTCTAATATACATAAGCTCCTGAACATACCCCAAAATCTTAAGAATTGATGGTCGCTTTGACTAACTTTTTTTTCCCCAGGTTCTGTACTGGCAATGTTAAATACACATGTAGGCAGAATTCTCCTCATAATGAACATTAGTATTTTTAAGTTTGCTGCCTGGATGTTGGTTGGGTGGGAGGTGGGAAGAGGGAAAGTGATTTTACGTGGGAACTCATCTCTGGTGTTAAAAATAGTCAGTGGAGACATGTGATAGATACACAAGTATTACCCGATACCACATTATTCAGGGAAGGATTTGATGCTAAAATTGTAGGCTGTTGATGAAAATAAATAGACTAGCCCTCTCACAGGATCGTACCCCCTACATAGCCCTTGGGAAAAAACCAGACAGCAGCCGTCAGCTCCTATCTTCTGGCACTTGACATTGGCTCTAGAGGTAGGAGCATGAGAAGCCAGTTTTTCCAGACCCTCCTCTGTCTTCCAGTCTCTAGCTACCCTCAACTGCTTCTGATATTAAGAGGCCTACCAAAGAGCACAGAGGAAGGGGCAGGCACACTGCTGGGGGTGATTAGGGAACACCTCCCATTGGAGGTAGCATACCCACTGGGTCCTGAGGAGAATAGAGGTGACACCTCTTCAGCAGAGCCCTTACTTCTAACACTTAATTGTACATGTGGATTTATAGGCCTGGCCTCCCCGCTTAAGTGTGAGTTTCTTAAGGCTGGAGATGGGTTTTATCTAGTGTCCCTGGTACCAAGCACAGTGTTTGACTTATTGTAGGTCCTCAGTGGAGGTTTTATGAATGAGTGAATGAATGAACGAATGAATGAGTAAGTGGAGTGAGGGCTCATGGCATGGATGATGAGACTGGAGAGGCAACTTAGGGCTGAATAACAAGGGCCTTGCATACCATGGATATTGAGCTAATTCACAGGTTTAGAAGGGGGTTTTCCTTCTAGGAATAGAAGTGATGTCATCTAAAGTCTGCACCAAGTAAAGGGCAGAAGCTAGGGCGATAGCCCAGTCACTGAACATAGAAATGTGGGAAGGTTCCAGCGCCGAGAACTTCAGGCTTCTGTTCCCGGGAGCAGTGGCTGCTGCGGTGGACTGGGCTTGGTGAGCGGGAAGTCCACGCCGCAGCCCGTGACTCTCCTCAAAGCGAGGAGTTTTCTCCTGGGACTACAGGCCTTCTCATGGGAGGGTTTTTAAATGTGTTTAAATATGCTCTCTGGTGGTAGCCACGGCATCCTCAATTTTCATGTAAAGCAAACAAGCTTAATTTGGATTCACAGAAAAAGAAAGTGTTTTCTCTTTTGTGGCGTTTAGCAGCCATTGGGGATCATCTTTCTTAGTCACCTCTTGGCTGCCCACACTGATGGAGGAGGCGGGGGAGGTGACATTGGGGCTCATTATGTAAAACAGTAGGTAATCCAGAAACTTTCTGGCTTTGGAAATGGATTTGTGGTTCAATTTAAATGTGGGTATGCCTGGTGTTCTGAAAATGTACCACAACAGCTAATAAAGACAGCTCAGAGGTCCTGAAAAGCAGGATCCCTGCGTCCCTTTTCCCACACTCGCCTCATCCTGTCCCCAGTCCAGATCTGGATGGCAACATGCTTCCATGATCAAAACAGGCCAAGGAAGGGAGAATAGAAAGCTAAAAAGAGAGAAAACTTAAGAAGTTTAAATAAAGCTTTTAAGTGGTTAAGTGATGTGGCAGTTAAAACATCGACACACTTGAAACTTCTAGGCTCCATCAGATAGTGGCATTTAATGGGCTCTCCTGTCCATTTATCTCAGGCAAGGTGTGTTAGCAGCTCCCCCAGAGTGTCAAGTGTGCCCGGATAGAGATTGCACAGTGAATTTATCACATGGTGAGTCAGTGTCTGCTAAGAGGAAAGATGGATAAGTGTGACGGTGTGCTCACAGGAAATCATGGGCAAGAACACAGGGGAGGGGTGCCGTGAAACATGACAGCCCTGTGGCCTCTTCACCGGAGCCTTGGCTGCATGATGGACTGACTGGTGACAGCCCTATGGCAGTGGCTTAAAACACACAAAGCCATACTCAGGTCATCCTTCAGAGCTTCATTTTTCAGGTGACCGTGTTCCCAATTGGAAGGCCACCAGCCAAAAAGTCCAGTGGGCTGCATCCTTCTAGTTCCGGTTGGGAAATTCAGGAAACACATGTAAACATACACATGCTTGGGAATGTGAAAAAGATTCTGTCTTCTGAAGACTCTTGGCCAATTTTAACAAGAATTTTTTAAAAAATGGTTTGTCACATTTGAGGCATTACTTCAAGCTAGTTTTGGACACAATCCCTGATTACTCTGATCCTGGGGACATTCAATACCCATGTCTGTAAAGCTCTGTAGTTTTTAAAACATCTCTGTCCCCCACAAAAGCCCTTATAAAACAGCATCGCCTCAAAGCCCAGGTAAGGAAGGCACTGAAGTCACAGCATGGATTTAACATTCACTACCTAAACCAGAGTTGCCAAGACTCCCATCTGGCTTACTGCCCGCACAGTGCTATCAGCCCAGGGGAGGGGTCTTCTTCACAGGGCCCAGCCCTGCTGGAGCTGTTTGGGCCTCAGCCACACTCAGGGGGTGTAAATCGTGACTGAATCGTGATTCAGCCTGGGAAGCAGCCCACAGTGGGGAGATGGGAGAAGCCAAGCTGCAATCCAACACTGGCAGTCCAGGGGCAAAAGCAACATTCCCTGGGACCTGAGTCCCTGAGTGACTGCAAAATACTAAACTTCCGCTAAATCTGGCTTAATAATTCCTTGGGAAGGTGGCAGGGAATTGTTAAGAGATCATTCTGGGGCCGGCCCGGTGGTGCACTGCTACAGTGCGCCGCTTGGGAGCGTGGTGGCGCTCCCGCCGAGGGTTCGGATCCCACATACAGACCAGCCGCTCACTGGCTGAGCGAGGTGCGGATGCAATACCGAGGGCTGTGATCCCGTTGCCGGTCCTGGTCCGGTACGGGCGCGACACTGAGGGTTGCGATCCGTTGCCGGTCACGAAAAAAGACAAAAAGGAAAAAAAAAAAAAAAAGAGATCATTCTACCTTAGAAAATTCCGTGTTCATGTTGCTTTACAGCCTTCACACATCTTACACTATTCCGTTCTACCTTAGAAAATTCCGTGTTCATGTTGCTTTACAGCCTTCACACATCTTACACTATTCCTTTGCATATATTTGCAGCAAACTTTGCTCCCCAAGGCTTCTGGCTTTGGGGATAGAAAGACTAATGCCCATGTCAAAATGATTCCTGATAAAAGCATCATAGATGTTAAATATTTATTTTAAGCTAAATGTTCCACTTCTGAGAGGTTAAAAAACAAACATATTTTCATGCAAAGCCTTTTACTAGTCAGTGTATGAGTTTCTTTAGGCTTTTTTATTTGGCCCTGCAGCAGCCAACTAACAAACTGCATTCCTGAGATGAGCTAAGGATGCAGAAATGAAGAAATAAACAAAAAGCCATGTTAATTTCAAGCTTCAGTAGGAATACAAAAAGAAATATTAACATTTGCTGAATGACAAATAATGAAATGGCTAGGAATTTTTAATGCTTCTAGCGAGCTTTTATAAGCTCTCATGGAATTTTCTCCCAGTCACGTATAGCACATTTATAACCAGCAGTGCGCCATGAAGGTGGTTTGATAGGTTGTGTAATTTAAAGATTAGTACCTCCAAGCGCAAGGTGTTCTTAATATAACTCCACAGCTCCATTTACATCTCCTTAACCTAATCTTCATAACTGCTTGTCCACGAAATAAAAGTCGCTTCACCCAGCTGGAACGATGATCACAGGATTGTTGTTCTGATGTTATTGTTTAAATATATATGAGGGAACGTCAAAAAGTTCATGGAAAGATTCCTGTTATCTTTCAATCCTATTTTCCACAGACTTTTTGAAGTACCTTTGTTGTGTGTTTTATGTATGTTAGCCTCTAGCTCCTATTTATTTCCAGTTTCTTCCACAGTCATGGTCTTTAGAAATCTGTCATCATACCTTAATGTGGTATTTTACACATTGAGAAATATTAAGGTTCTGAAATTTGTATTCATGCATCAATTAGATGTAAGGCACTAGTAATTTAAATTTAATCTCATTCAAATTAGTACACACTTTCTGAGTACCTGCTGTTTG